AAAATCAGAATTTGTTTCATCATCATCATTAGATCTATCATATTATCTATTGCGATTTAAAAATCCATTTCAAATGTATTGAAAATTTGCGTGATCGGTTGAGGCAAATAAGTACAAAACCAAAAGCTTGTTGTTTTTTCGAACTTTGTAGCGGTACACTTTAGCGTTAATTAAATGCGTAGGCATTTGTCAGCACTCCTAGAAAGATAAACCGACTGTTTGCACGTCTAATGGGGTTACTTGTTTCTATGTGTCAATTAAAATATATACATGACTCAGCAGAAACTTACACAATATAAATAGGCGTAGGTACGGCCGGTAAGTCATTCGAAGCAAATACAAGTATCAATATTTTAAAGTCATTTCTCACACGGTTCCGTCGCCATGAATTCTAAGTACGCGGTTTTGGTTTGTTTTTTGGTTTTGGCGTTCGCTTTCAACGGCGTGAACGCTTATTGCAACCCAGATGATTGTTGGGGTCTATGCCGCAGCCAGTACGGTGGGGCGTACGCAAAAACTCGAGGAGTATGCGAATCTTCCAACAATGACTATTGTCGGTGTTATGGTTTATGCCAAGCTTCCAGCAACTGGCTTTCCTATGGGTTCCGAGATGTCAATCAATTGAAAAATGGTAAGTATTAAAAAACGCTATTGATTTATTCCAAAAAGTGCACTACGATCCTATATATATTTTGTTAATTTGGATTTAATTACCATATTATGTAAGCTTCGGATGTTGATGACTTTGCATAGTTCTTTAGTGAAATCAGATTTATATCCAAATACGGTAGAAATTCGATTTACAAAGACTAGATTTTAAAACAGCAAACTTATATTGCAAAAATGAAACTTATGAACATATATATTTGTCAATGTTTATTTCTAGTTTAGTACCATATTCGTAGGTATACATAAAATACCTTTTCAAATAATAACAATCCTATGAAAAATATTATTTAAATTGTGTCAAGTCGGTTAAAATTTTTAGCCGATTTCAATAAAAGTATATAATTGTATATTTTGACATTTTAAAATGCATATTTCATTAAATATATGGTCATTAACATCCGAGCTCTAACCATATGCTTATTGTGTTCTAATAAAAAAAAAAAATTGAATTTGTAACCCAAGCCGTTTTGGTAAAAGCGATTTGCTTGTGTTGCAACATTTTAGTTTTAACCCTTAAATCGACAAAAATAAAAAATTCCTGACCGTGTTTTTTTTTTTGATTACTTACTAAGACTCGTGGAAATCATTTATGCCGTTATTTTTTTTTTAAATAAGTTGTTTAATTATAGCGTATATCTTTAAAGATACACTTCCACTTGGAGCACATTTTATATTTGTATCTTAAAGTATACATCGACCTATTAAGAAAATAAAACAACACAACTTAATTTAGTATTTTATGGTTTACGAAGAGTAGGTATTATTTTTTGAACAATGTATATAAGTGTGCTTATTTGTGTTAATTAAAGAAAATAACTTAAAAATGCAGTTGAAACAAATGATATTTTATTTACCGTATTAAAATAATAAATACCTATTGGAACAAAAAAGTTTTAATATATCATATTTTTTATTAATTACAATTTTTTTTAAATATACTATAAGGGCATTGTATCTTTTTGGATACAGCTATAAATAAAAGGAAAAGGTTAACGTAATGCGCTATCAAAAATTGAAACTTGTAAACAGGATCATTTCAATAACTGTTTAAATAAGGAATAACTTAATGATTACGACCGAAACTAAGAAATAATTTATTGGGTTTAAGTTAACTAATGATCGTAAATAATTTACTAATATATAGTGTACTTAGTATAAAATATAATGTTATAATTATTGATGTAATTCACAAGTTTTGTTGAATTATCTATACTATAATTTAAAACACAATCACCAAACTTTATGTTTTCAATGCTACAGAAATAGTTTTAATTTTAGATTGATGTGATTATGTCGAGTCATTCTCGTAGGCAATGTGATTTGCCATATTAAAATTATACTTACTTTTTTTTTCTTTTTCTTTTTCTAGCTCAAGACATCGTCTTAAACATCTACATCAGTTCAACGAGAAAACTTCAAAAATAATGTCAAAATTTCAAAACATTGCAAAGTAGTAACTCTTTTGTAATACTATTTATGTTAGCTTTTATGTGTTATACATTAAAGGTAACTAAATATTATTATGTATAGATAAAAAATAATGAATTTTACAATAAATTTTTAATTTTCCTGAAAATTTAATGTGTTTTAATCTATTTTTATTTACTAAGAACAAATCATTTCAGCTAACACGTGTGTAATATGTCAAAATAGAGTATTTAAGGTTTAGCGGTTACTATTGTTCACGTCTAATTATTATAATCAATAAAAGAGCACAATATTCATAAATAATTAATAACTTGTACGTATCAATGGGCGTAATCACAATGTTTAGTACATTATTTTCAATTCAAATAGTTAATAAAATGTATGTGTTTCAAAAATTACAAAAACAAAAAAATAAAAATAAATAACCTGGGAGGTGGTAAAAACAAAAATCAAATGAGATCATATTGTATAAAAACATTATCAGAAAAAATATTATATTTCTTACTAAACCTTATGAGATATTGAGTGGTTCACGAAAATTTATCACCCTGTGTATGTTCAGTATAAATGTATTATATTTATCATAGTAAATAAGTGTAATGCGATGCACGATAAAGTGTATTTAAGGTAATTCAGTATATTGTTGATCCATTTGTCGGATCGACAACACAACTGGACGTTTAATGTACATTTTCAGTATCAATATTAGATTAGAAAAGTCAATGTATATGTTTACAGCGCCTTACAATCTTATTTTAATTACCTACTGTAAATGATGTAGCCATGTGGAGCTGCGGTAAATTTTGTGAAATAACAAGGCTACGTTTGGTTTGTTTTTGTACAGATTATAAAATATAGTTAATATAAGCAAAACAATAGTTTCTAAAATATAATGGGCACAATAATGTTCTGTAATAGTCGTCTCGTGTACGTACCTACATACAAAATTTAACGCTGATAATGCGAGCAATCGATAAAAAAACAAAAGTTATATCTAAAAAAGCGTAATCGGCTTACATACTCAAAAAGAATTGTTTTTGTTTGCACGTCGTTTGTTTACACCGAGAAACAATACAAATTCTGTTTTTATGGCCATCGCTGTTATTGAGTCGAACAACTTGCTCGTTGCTGATTTTGAAATACACACTAAACGTGCGATAACAGTAGTGTACGAGTCAACAGGTCAATAAACACAATTAGGAATGTAAAATTCGAAAATTATAGACAGCCAATATAACATTAAAATGTATACATTTGAATTATTTTATACAATAAAAAAAAAACAGAGGTCAAAACTTCCAACAAACGAGTAAATAAATAATATAGTAGACACTAGTTATGTATTAAAACTTATTTAACGCCAAACACGTTGCTTGTTTGATTAAATTTGCATTGGTTATCCCAAATAAATATACAAGTTACTAAATATTCAAATTAACTTAAGTATTCATCTTTTGACTGATCTCTGGATATACTTCTTTCTTGTACAGTGGTACAATAAACTTATTATTATTGTATTCTAACAATTAGAGTTTGGTGAAATAATATTACTAACTAGTCGGTTATTTAGTTATAACAATATTAGTGGAGGTAAGTCGTTATTGATCTTGAAGCATACCTGTTATATTTTTGTTGATATTATTACTGCAAGTTTGTGCAAAAGCGTCCAAGTTAAGGAAATGTCCGAAAGGAAATTATGTAGTTTACTATTTCAAGTACAAATTACAATTCATAATAGTAGTATTATTGATTAAGGCTAGTTGAAACATAGTAATTAACATAAAATAGTACGGTAATTTATCAGTATAAAACAGTACACAACGTTACCAATTTGTTCCGTATTGATTTATTGCATTAAGGTCAAAGATGGACTGTTGTAAGTATGAATTTAAACATTTATTAATAAGAAAACATAATTTTGTTATTTTATAAACCAAAGTACAACACTGTGATTAGAAAAGTCTTACAAAGTAAAATATTGCGATAACTACTATTAATATTGTTAATTTTGTTTTAAGCGTGTCAATATATAATTTTGTGCATGATATTGAATACAAATGTTACATTTCATACACAGAACTAGTGTTTTTTTTTTTTGTTAAATAAATTTAAACTTTCAATTTTCATAGCTTTGATTAGAACAAAAACCCAAGTTTATATCTTATAAAAAATAAGTTTAATTAAAGTTTCAAGTGGTTCCTGTTGAATTCAAATGTCCTAACGACTTACACAGTTTCCGAAATGATCAATATTCAACTATTGTACACAGTTTGGCTTATTAGTATGGGAACATTATTTCCATGATAGGTTTTTTTAAATTTCCCAAACTAGAGATTGTTTTGAACATTTCTTAACTGGACATTTCCCTGTTAAACAGGGCACTGTAACAGGTCAATTTGTAAACATTTTTCCTAAAGTACACCCAAAAGGATTTCGCATCAACTGCGCTATCCTAATGTATAGCTGGTAAAAACACTATGATGAAATATAGATTACATTTTTTCCTCTGCCGAACTTGACTAGGTCGACTAGGCACAGCTGATTCGTAGAATAAAATATCAAAGTACAATATTTTACTATGACGCGTTTAACTTGGTAAACAACGGTTTAATTTTTTTTTCATTCGGAGCACCTGCGACCTTGATCTTGTGATAATAGTACTATATGATGATGTAAATAAATTTTTTAAAAATATATTTATACATTTGATTAAAGTCTACGCGGTCACAAAAAGTCTACAGTAAAGTCTGTATCCGTTGGCCTAGTCCAGGTGAATTTCGCAGTTTGTAATATGTTTTCTAATTGTATTGAAAAAACAAAAAACAACAACATAAGTGCCTAACTAGGCGGCTTGCGCTTTTTAATTGGTCCAACCGAACTGATAAAATGAACTATAAAATGCAGATAAGTCGGTCGTCTTTCCCGGACTCTTGGCCGAACACGTGAATCCGTCAGTGAACCGACCTCTGTCTAAGCTACTATACCGCAAAATAATATTATCATAATTTTTATTTTTCCTGTTATATTATATTAGTTTTGTTCTCTGGCATTTCTGCTGTGCGTTTGTTGTTTTCCGTTTTAAACATCGGCCAATGTTGGATTAGAATATATGATATTTATTTTGCAGCACATACACATACAGTAAAAATGGTTACCGAACATGATCACATCAACGGAAACGAAAAAGTAAGTACGACCGACAAATAAACATAATATTAAACACCTCCAAAAAAAATTCGGGTTTTTTTTTTGTTCATAAGATGTTCATATTTAATATTTTTCGTTTATTTCCAAACACCTTAAGCGGTGAATAAAGTTCAATAAAAAAATAAACGTTTATTTAAATTTATCGACCACCTTTTACAACGCCTCGTTTCAACTAACTAATTTTATAATTTTTTATTCTTATAAATATTTTTGGCAAATATCATCTTTAAAATGACCGACATTTTCAGTTTCCGGCAAAACTAAACTTTTAAAACAAAAGCCATTCGCAATTGTTATGAGATATTTTCTGAAGAGATAGACTGGAAATTTCCTAAAAACTGAACTCGACCAGAAATTTAAAATTTAGAAATAATTTCACATAAAATGTTTTAAGCAACCAGCCGGTCGACCAGTAGTTATCCTCTGACATTTATACTAGTATGTTCAATCACTCAGTAAATAAAATGTATAAATTACTTTTTAGTTTAAAAATTGCTCATTGCGTTTATAAACTACATCTTAAAAATATGCTTATTTTGGCATTTTTAAAACTATTTTTGTTTTCAAGTATTAACAAAACATTTGTCGTTGTATTTATTACAAAAAATACTGGCCTATGAATTGTGTTTAAATTTCATAAAGATTTTTTTGATTTTATGGTTTGGTTTTTAATCATATTTAGTAGTCACGTGGCCAGCAATGCAAGTTAATTAAATAGTATCAATTGTGTGCGCATTATTGTTCTCAAATATCAACAATAATAATATTATTAAATATTATATTACTTTATTTAACAATATTTTCTCGGTTATTTGGAACACCGTTTTTAACTGTTTTGTATTTTTTTAATTGATTTGATGTATAATTTCGTTGTTTTACATATTTTATACTCGCTTAAGTTTATGCGGGGACCGCGGAGTTAAATTATATAATCTACATAATATAAAATTTCAAATCGTTTATAAAATAATTAATTATTTAAATAAACTCTTAACAAAACAAAAAAAAAAATGTTTGCGGATTAGGGTTTATTTAAATAGTTAACTACCTACTCTATTTTATAATACATAACCACAAGTGTTGCTTAAGTTTTTTCTCGTTAAAATAATTGTTTATCAGGAATGCTGTGATGAAAACATTGAAGATCCCGCATGTCTCGAGTCGAATCCGGTTAAAATAACTTTCGAGGACATAACTTCGGCAGCTTATAAGATCAAAAACGGAGTTGTCAAATCCTCGTGCGCTGTAAGTTATCTAGTCCACTGCACCAACTATAAACAAGCCATGGTTTAGCTGAGCGTTTTCGTTTGTTGTTTCAGAAATCGCATTTGTCCAGTCTAGTCAACATGGAACTGTACTTGAAGAAAGACTTCGTCCAAGTCACAGGCAGGTACGTTATATTTTGAACAACGAGTACAACTTGACAAGCGCCTCAGTTGGGCTCACCACGCTATTTTTAAAACGCAAACAAGCTGATTCTCATTTCTTCATTTGCTTAGACCTCGCTTTAAAATATCTTAATTATGGCTTAACCCCTTAAGTTCTGATTTATAAATCTGTTATTAAATCTTTATGGTCCAACGGGGTTTGGGGTCCGGCCGAACCTTCCAAGTTCCAACATTAGTCCCCTCCTTCAAGCGTTCAAATATATCAGGCTATTAGTGGTGCCCTCAGGTGTATCTCAAATGATTCTCTCCACAAATAACTCCAACTACATACAGTCAAAAAACATGCCAAAAAAAAAATTGAGATAATGGATTAGAGATAAAACATTCGATATTAGAAAGTACCAAAAAGTACCAGGGTCCTATACTTGTATATTTACAAACATATACATGTCCCTATGTATTTTCGTGCAACGGAGGTCGAGCCTAATTTAATTTATTATTATCAAAACAGTTTATGTACAATTTGTGTACATAAAAATGTATAGGTAATAAGCAAATTATATGATTAATGTTACTTAATATGAAAACCTGTTAAAAGCAGCAGTCCAGCGACGATATTGTAAAATGTATAAAAAAAAATATATATATTATATATACACAATACTTACAACATTGAAAATTTTTAATCAAAAAAGGTTAATTTTGAGGTGCCCTTGAACGGCAGAACTCTTCAGGTCATTCGTGTGTGTGAAATATACAATTGTCATGGAACTCGCTTATTGTTTTAGTCTTATGGATTGTAAATAGCTTATATTATTATCTAAAAAAAAAAAACCTAGTTATTTTCTCCGCTCTACAGAAAAACATTGAATCTTGGACATGTTATCATCTATCTCTTATCTTTCGTCTTTTATCTCTAAGCTCTAACTGAAAGTGAAAGTGTACCGCGAAAAATGGCGACATAAAAGCCCAATAACGTAGGTATCTGTGTTAAAAAAATTGTAATAATTGCGTTGGAAGTCTTGGTGAACTTGTGAAGTTGTTCCGACGGTCTTAGGTAACTGAATGGCTATTTTCTATACAAGCTTGTGTGCAGAAAGTTATTTTAAATTCGATTTCAGACATTACAAAGAGCCTTATGTTTGTTTGGCACTTTGTTGTATAGCACATGCTTAACACTATAATGTATTATGCCTACCGTATATCCGTTATTTCTTATTTCTTATCTTTATCTCTTATCTCAAATCAGTTACATTTTATCACTTATCTATAATCTCTTATCAGTTTTATTTTATATCTTAGATATCTCATCTCTTTATATTTTTAAATATTTCTCGTGTATCCCGCCCAATAAATCCACATCAAAAGGGTAATTTCTTGTGTTTAGTTTCAAAGAACGAGGGGCTTGCTACGCCCTGACAATGCTGTCGGAAGAAGATAAGAGAAACGGTGTGATCTCGGCGTCGCTGGGCAACCACGCGCAAGCACTGTGCTATCACGGCAGACGGCTGAACATCCCAGTGACCGTGGTCATGCCCACGGCGGCGCCCATCATGAAAATCGAAGCTTGCCGGAATTTTGGCGCCAACGTGATCGTGCAGGGCGTCAACATGAAAGAGTCCAAACAAGAGGCGTTGAGGATTTCCAAAGAAAAGAACATCATTTACATTAACGGGTCAGTGCACTTGGTTAATTGATAAACTCGTTTTTGTATTTTATATTTAAATTATTCATTAATAGTTTGCAATTTTGCCGCTGTAAAGTCCAGAAATACGTCATAATATAATACTGCAGTGTCGCCAACATTGTTTCGTTATCAAATTTACGGTTTCCACTGTACAGGTCGACATGACACTAATTTTGATTTTAAAACAATAACGCTTTTCTTTTTTGGAGACATTTTAGTTTATGTTACTTTACAATATAGTGTTTAAATTTTATCTAAATAATTAACAAATTACAACTTGTTGTACAAAGCTGGTGTTTAACCGTCTGCCAATGTGTTTAGGTACGATCACCCGCACATAATGGCCGGTCAGGGCACGGTTGGCTTGGAAATACTGGAAGACGTGCCGGACGCTGACGCCATAGTAGTGCCAGTGGGCGGGGGAGGTCTTTTGGCCGGGGTCTCGTTGGCCGTGAAAACTCTGAACAAAAATTGTAAGATCATTGTGAGTTGAATTTATTTATTTTATTTTACCTTTATAATACACACACACACACACGAGGTTTAGTGTAACTAAAGATAAGATTAATATCTTAAGAATGACAAAAGCAGAACAAAATCACACACTCATATTATGTTGTAGATTTGCTGAGTTTCAATTTTAGATAAAGATTCATAACAATTTTTCAATATTCATTAAGTGGTCCCCATAAAACTATAGTGTAATTGGCTTAAACCGCATACGTAATATATGGGCGGCGTTTTAAATCGGTTAATAATAATTAAGCTGCACTAGTTTAATCGTCACCCGCATTAAAATAGGATTTGTTTTATTAACGTGCATGTAATCGCTCGTTAATTCACACAGGCCTATTAAAAAAAACACTCATCGAACACTTGAAAACAAAACTAAAAGACATATTGACGTCGGTCTAGCGCTTAAAGAGTATAAACGTTGAAAAATTAATCAACAGATAACGACAGATATGTCTGGTTTTTTTTTACAGAAAACATTGTGTAAATAAAAAATAATACTTTGATGCTAATACAAATTAACCAATAAATTAATTGACATGGTTGAAATATTTTATTAAAAACCTCTTGTTTTCTCAAATAATGCTTACACAAAACTTCTTAAAAACAGGGCGCATGCAATCCCTTTAACGTGGAAATTTTAGTTTTTTAATAAAAATACGTCAGTTTGAAAAGTGCTCAACATTTTTTCAATTCAAATCAAAATACTTAAAGCTAAAATATTACACTTGAATGTCTTTCTTGTGGTATTTCATGGTAAAAATCTGTTTTTTTTAGAAAGTTATCAGTTTCAAAGGGCTGATCTTGATAAAGAAAAGTTATTGTGAAATATAAAGTGATTTTAAAGAGCCATAATTTATGTCTTTGAATCCTTTTTTTTAATTATAAAAAATGTTGATAATTTTAAGTTTTAAGTAAAATGAACCAATTTAAGGAAATAAAAAAAAAATCATAGACGTACTTAGAGTTAAACCTCTGAAATTGTAGACATTTCTTATTTGAATAGACTTCTATCGATTGTGAAATAAGTAAAAAAAAAATGATTTAGACACAATCTAGCAGTCTATTAAAGTTTTTTTCTTTTTACAACAGCAAAAACCAATAAAATAAAAATGTTTTTATTACACTTACTTCTCTTTTTTTTTTACATTTAGCAAATTAATTAACTCTATAAGTTTAAATAAGAAAAAAATATAACGTTTAAATTATTTAAATCTTAACTACATAATACAAATCAGATTAAGCAATTAGTTTTCAATTACCCAAATACAAAAAAAAAATAACCTAAAACATTTGACACAACTATTAAGTTTTTAATTTTGGCGATTTAAGATGAATACCAACACTAAGTCGTTAATTTTTTTATTATAGCTTACCAATTTTTTTCCCATTTATTACATATTAAAAGTCAAACACATAACCTTAGTACATGAAAAATATTAGCACTTAAAATTATTTCAATAAACACTATTCTGTTGATTCTCAATTACTTAATACTTATTTATTTTTAATAACTACATACTTTTTGTAGCGTTTTAAATTCGTTTGTAAATCGTAAAACAGATAATAATAGTGGAATCGATGCATTTCATTTTAATATTATTTATTTTATTTTATAAGCGTAAGAAGAGTGTGTTTTGTAATAATTAATAACTTTAATGGTTAATGGATAACGCACAATCAATTAATGTAGTAGACAACAAACAGTATTAAGTTCAATTCGGTCTTACATTATGTGTTTGGCCAAATACTTATAGATTGCAAATTTAGCATTACATATTCAGAAATTCTATGCAATTAAAATATGTATGTATATTTTAACGAAATTCCAAATCAATCAAACCGCATAATCTACTAACGTATTATATTTTAACAGAACGGTTTCTATTTTAAAAATAAAAAAATACTGATAATGCCAATTTATTAAGGAAATTGTGCAAGGTTTTAACTTTATAGCTATCGTTTTAGTCATCTTAATTGGTTTTATAATGAACGATAATTTTTAAAAACCAAAGCGACCATTATATTTTATTAGTTATTATTTCAGGCAATAACTATTAAATTGGCAATTAGAAAACGTGTTCTCTTTCAACGTGATTCATTCTGATCGCCATGCCGTCATTGAATGTTAATAATATTATTAGTAAAATCTATGGTAATTTGGACTCTGAAGACGTTATTGATAATAATACTATACACTAGACCGCTAACAAAACTATTACTATTAAAACTATTGACAAAGTTTAGTTCAAGGCACGATCACTTGAAAATTAATCGGTTTTACTAGTCACCGTTGGGCTATAATTTAATAATATTTCTGAGTAAAAAAAAAAAATTAGTTGTTTATAATATCGTTACAATTTACTGTGTACATTATATTATGTAACAATGCGTTCCCACCAAGACATTAGGTTAACTTCAAGGCAACAATATCTATTTAAAAAAAAAACAATTATAGGGGTAGTTCACCCACCGACGGGGTTTGTTTCCCCGTTGGAAACGTTGTAACCCTCACTGCTGCTATATTCTTTTGGTTTTCACCACTTCAATTATAGCAATCATAAAGTCACTATACCGTTTCAGGGAGTGGAATCCGACCGATTTCCTAGTTTTTCCAAAGCCTTAGAGCACGGAAGACCCGTACTCATCGAAGGCAAGTCCACGTTGGCCGACGGTCTGGCAGTGCCCATGGTCGGATACAACGCCTACGCTACAGCCGCACCTCTAATCGACAAAATGGTAATTTACTCGAACCTAAGTAGAAAGGGTTTTTTTTAAAAATGATTTTCAATGCGTTCCCAACCGAGTGACGAACTCACAATTATTATACTATGACATTGCACAGGTCGTTGTCTCAGAAGAGTGGATTTCCATAGCCATACTGCGGTTGGTGGAGTCTGAAAAATGTGTAGTAGAAGGAGCCGGAGCTATCGGTCTGGCGGCAGCATTGTCCGGTCAAATGGAAGAGTTTGCCGGTAAAAAGTAAGTCGGAGCAAAGTATTTTCATCGTCTCTAAGCACGGGCCATTGAAAAATTACCATTAATTGTAACTCTTGAACTACCACTTAGTTATTTATTCGCTAAAGCTCTCTTATTTTCATCCCATCCAACCACACACTTTATTCTACATGTCACTTGATTCATAAAGTGCTGCATTATCTTGCATGAATGACTCTAAGAGCACTTCTAGATCCCCTTCTCTCAATTTATCACTTGTCTACTAAGTAATTTGGTGCTTTAGCTATTTATACGGCTAGGTTGTTCTGTACGCTATTTAATTACTTTAGTCCTAAACTATAAACGTCCCGTACTAGTCTCGTTCATCTAATAAATCGTCTAACGTGTTTGGTACTCTCAGTTGCCAAAGAGTTCATTCAGTACTTACCTAAGCAAAACATTTCAGTGAAATATTTCAAAACGATAAAAAGTTTGCAAACTACGACAACGTTCTATGAAAAATTATGATTTTATTAACTATAATCATTTAAATATTTCTTTAAAATTTATATAACTAGTTTTTTTAATTAGATTTAATTAAAAACTCAATTATGAATCAAAATTGAATAACAAAATTAAGTGACATAAATAATTGAAATTATTAACTTGTAAAAATAACAACATATAGTTTAATAATAATGTATACATTTTAATTTATTTAATATTTTATGATACATATATTTAAACTTGACTTTTTTTTTACATGTACATATTTTTGAAATTATTCTTTTTAACTTAGTCATTTTATATATTCTTCTACTTCCTATTGACAGGAATGAGTCTTATGGCTAGGGCGGATACGTGGTGCAATAGCGTGACGCTTTTTTGAATCAAAGGGGAGGAGTAAAGGAGAAGACAGCGTGGGGAAAGGATAGTGATAAGTGTGGATGAGATGGGAATTGAACGATGGTGTAGAAGAGGAGACTGATTTCAAAAAGAGGAAACTGATTAGAGTTAATTTACAAAAGACAGAACATCAGCTGAGCATGAGACATGAGGTGTATTCATGGTCCAATGTCTTCTCCTAACGGGAAATTGGCTTGGCGGAGAAACAAATAAGGAGGAGGGATAGGGAAGTTTGTGGATGAGTCGAGAATGAGATGACAGAAAATCTGCTGAGCATGTGGTGCATTTATGATTCAATCTATTCCACGACCCAATGGGAATGGCTGGGTTTTTGTTTGATTGAAAACAAATTTTTATTTTCTTATACATTTTAAACATTTCCAGAGTGGTTCTTTTGCTTTGCGGCGGAAACATTGACACGTCCATTTTGGGCCGGTGCTTAGACAGAGGTTTGGCCATCGACGGTCGGTTGGTGAAATTCCATGCGACCCTCAGCGATCGGCCGGGAGGCATTGCCGAATTGTGCAGAATCTTAGCAACCATTGGGGTGTGCGTCAAAGACATCATACACGAGCGGGCATGGCTGTCCGACGACGTCTTCAGCGTTAGGGTGAGCAGAACTGCACACAAACCAGAACCGTGGACAATAATTTTTACTCATATGAAGTGTCACCGAAGGCACGACGCTTTTGTAGCACAAATGGGAGGGTCGGGGAAGGATAAGGGACAAGGGGCGACATTGAATCACAACCTTATCACATGAAAATATGTTTATAACAATAATTATGAGTTAAGTTGATGACACGGAATCGTGGATTTTTGCCGTCAAAACAAACGATTAAAAATCAGTTTCCTATGTAAAATAATCTGAGCCTTCGGAAAAAAATTCTGATGTATTTTTTTGTTAACAGAAAGTCATTAAAACGCTTAGAAAATAAAAAAAATAGTTAAAATTACATTAAAAAAGGGGCCGCAGTAACCAAAATAGTTAAAAAAATTATGTGTAAAAATAAGATAATATTTTTGTTTTTTCAACTTTTCTATGAAATTTTACCTCTTTTTTTCGTTTTTCTACGCGTTTTTATGGAAAACCCAATTTGAAATTTACACGTTTTATGTAAAACTATTATATCAGCTTTTTGAAAAAAAAAATTTGAAAAATTCTCAAATTTTGGGCAACACGAAATAAGCAACTTTTTAGATTAAAAACTAAATTTTAATGAATTTCTGTACTCGAAAAAATAAATCAATATTTTTTTCAGAAAGCTAAGATTGTTTTAAATAAGAAACTGACTTTTAATACATTTTTTTATTTTTGATGGCCGAAGAAACTGTCAAAGAAAAAATAACAAAAAATAAGTGTATTTATAAGAAGATTTATGTAGTTTGTATATGTATGTATTATTTTTTTTTTAAATTAAGGTCAAAGTGGTATGCGAAACCAGAGACTTGAAACACGCTCAATTAATGCAAGAGGTCATCAAGAAGAACTATACCTCGTCCATTTTCGGTGACATACCGCTGCCCAAAGTGCTGTAGTGGTGTTCGTCCGGACGTTGCCTTTGTATTATATACCAATAAAATTAAATTTGACTCAAAAGACAAAATATTGACAATTCAAAATAACCTAACCGTTATTTTGCATTGATTAGATATGCCAGTTTGGCAATATGTTCATTTGTTAATGAAATTAAATTAAAGCGATTATTTGTATTATAAATATTATATAGTATAGGTATAGTGAATTAAAAAACAACGAATAATCATAATAATTGTTGTTGTTATTAACTATGATAAATATATATTAATTATAATAATATGTAAACACCGAATGTTATTATTATATTGAAATTGAAAACATAAGCAAATAATTACTACATCGAAAGTATGTATTTTCCAAAAACATTATGGTAAATTATTTTGGTTGTATTTAACATATTTCCTAATTATATTCAAGGTAATTCTTATCTATTATATGAGCTCTTTAAACAGAGCAATGTGTATTGATAATTTGAATAAAAAGTACAAAGTCAACACATATCGGCTGTAAACGATTAAAGTCATTCGGCATACTATTTACATAACATCTTAGGAATCCCCAAGGTATGTCTTTATTATTACAAAAAACTATCTATTTGGAGTAGTAGGTTAGGTTAGGTACTCGAGTTCTAACTTGATCATTAAACAAGTCGTTAAAACATACTAAACTTAACTTATAAATATTGTATTTGTAGGCAAGCTTAAAATCAAACGTGTGTTAACTTTATTTGAAAATCTACTTCTAACAATCGTATTTATACATTTTTTAAATAAAGGGTAATACAAATTATTAAATACATGTTTAATAAAACAGTCAACAAAAATAAATGATTTAACTAGACTAATAATACTATAATAAACCAAAAAAAAAACTATGAAAGGGAGGAAAAATATTGTTATCTAATGGAACTAAAAAAGGAATGATATATATATATATATATTAAACGTTCTTATTATTGATCTAAGCTAATTTCATCTGTAAATAAATCAATCCAAAAAAACGTCATGGCGTTTAAGTCTCGATGCTGTTCCGGTCCAGTCGATTGCCGTGCATAACGATCCAGGTAAATCCTAATTGTCGCTTTTTCTTAGACAATATCAAGCGACGAACTACAGATTACCTGAATCCCGTCGCACGGTGTGGCCGCCGATCTCCGTCTAGAGATTGATTGTAATGAATTTCTACTCCTATTCGGTTCACTCGTCTTCTGACTTGAGACCTGACAAGAACTTCGTCGACATGTTTGCCGATTGATTATAATATGACCCAACGAGTAGCTTAGCTTAGCAATCAGAAGCAACAGGTTAAGTCAATTTAAAATCACTCTGCCAAGTATAATTAGACATGTTCACCTGGTCAGTTGACAGTTGAATTAAATTTTTGTCAAAATCGTGTGGTTAGCTACAATTGCTCAAATTTTTTTATTAGTTTAGAGTCAGATAAATGTGAAAATGAAAATTAATTTGTTTGACTTAGGCCGTTTGTGCCCAGAGTTGGTCAATTATTCGAATCCGTTGGAAACACGTAATTATTCAAATAATTTGCAAGTGCGGTTTTCAAGAAAATGTGTTTTCTTCAAACGCCACTTTGTAGAAATAATATACTATAACAGTACAATAATATTATACTTATAAAAAAATGTAACCAACTATACGTTTTATTACTGAGAATTTATGTTAGACATATTATATGAACATATTTATTTTTTTCAAATAAATTGTGAAAAAATCAAACGAATAACCTGTTTTATTTGAATAAGAATTTCTACAACTCAATTAAGTTTCACAACAGATATTTCAGAAAATGTTATACACAAGTATAATATTATTATAGCTCCTGTTTAGAGATTTAAGTTCAGTCTAATTTTTAGACGACAAGGTAAGTACTTTGACTTTTTTCTATTCAGATATTTCAGAAATCTTTTGTTGATTTTTCCACTCCTGTTGAATTATGAATATCGAAACTGTCTGATGATTATTTTGTAACAACCTGTTTTTTATAGACTCGAAAAATTGACAACTGCGATAATAATTGGCGTATGATGATGTTATTTTAAAGCCATTAATAATCTGTTTTTTACCTCTGATTTTATCCATGTGCTACTTGTAAGCAAAAATAACCTAATTATAGTGTGTTACTGCTTGAAAAAAAAAACGAAAAAACCTTTTACTCCTTTCAGCAGAGAGCACAATTGAACAGCTCCTGTTGTCCAAGTATAATATTAAAGATTAGGCTAAACATTTTTGAAACCAATTCGACGATAGACATCTTTCTGAAAAGTCAGGTTTCCAAACAAAAAAAAAACATGCAAAACGCCCAGTTTTAAATGCAATTAAACAATGGAAGCCAAACTCGTGAAGTGGTCAATCCATTTCTGTCGTTGCACATTAGCAGATTTATCCTAATACTACCTAACGCAGCGCTATTTCTGTTTGATCGGCTATCAAACGCTTCACGCTAGATTGTATTAAAATCGCCCTGCCTATTGGTGTGATGACCACTTGTGTGAAAACCCTTTTGTTATAACGGAACACACTGTCGCTGACCAGTTTAGCACGTTAATTTTTTTTTTAGATACACACAACACAATATCAAGCCAATAGAAAATCACTCCGTTCAACTTACTACAATTGTCTAACGTATCGTTCAAACTATGGTTCTGGCGAAGATGGACTTCTGGCAAAACACCTGCAACAGGTGACTAATCTTACAGCTTTGTCGATCGTATGACTTCGTGTCGTCTAAAATAACGAGAGAACTTGATTACTTAGAAAACGAGCGGCGAATAGAATCAGAGGACTTTAAGAGTTTAATACGATTGAGTTACTTTGGTTGGGCGTTGTTAGAAATGAGTAGATTAATATGTAGTTTAGAGAAGCATCCGCAAGACTGTCACCTTCAGAGGGATTTTCAAATATTTTATCGTATAACTTGTAAGTAGACAGTAAAGTGTTATTTATTTTTTTAATTATGGTTAAAGCTGTGTTTAGTCAGAAGCTTACATTATAACTTACTTACTATACTCCATGCATTTTTTTGTACGTTACACAACTCTCCAATGTACTGTTGAAGCTCGTCCATTCGCATTATGATACACACCATTTACATTTACTTGTAGACAAGTGTAACAGTAGGTAAGACATTTTTTTTTTTTTTACATTCAATTTTAACAACTTTTTTTAGCACTCTTCTGCATCTTTATATGTAATACCCGAAGTTGCATAATAAGCTCAATCAGTTTTAAAAACGGATTGTACCTTGGCGATGCCATTATTTACTTTCTCTTGTTAGATGTTTTAACTGTACAAAAAAAAGTAGACGAGTAAAGTATTCTATACAGAGCTGGACAAAATTCAATTCAAAAACAACTAAAGCAAATCGAGTAACGTTTGAATAAAGATAATGTTATTATTATTTTTAAATTGTATTTAAAAACAACATAATTTGTAAAGAAATACTATTAAATAATACATATTATTATTTGTATAAGACTTTAGGTGTTTTTGATTTATTAGAATCGAAAATTATGTATTTTATTGAATAGTGCTCAACTCTTTTAATAGAATACCTATTTTAAACATGGTTAATTTCTATATTACCATGCTTGATTTTCAATAAAAAAAACTCTGTAAATAAAATCAGTTATCATTAAATTTTTATTAATAATATAAACTTTTGTTACATTACAGAACAACAAGAGGTACATTAGCATAGTGTTATTATCGTTGCATAAGTATATAAAAACAAATCAAAGAAGATCATAACCAAAAGACAAAACAGAAAAAGGCAATGGGTTAGTAGCAGTATTAACAACAAGTATTCAAGTACAACATTGACATAAACAGGAGTTTGTATAGAGTCCTAATCAAACGTGTATACACAGTTTACATAAATGGTTAGTTGTACACAAGGTAGAGATGTCTATGTTAAGTCCATTAATTGCAGGTGAACACAGAAAATTGTTAATCGATTGAGATACAAAGCAAGCACCAGAGTAATTAGCAGATGAAACCCAAAAGCTAAGACCATCTCGAGATCTCACCTCGCTGCTAAAATGTGCTGAACCATTCGGGTGGAACTCGTCACAGTGCTTTGATCGGTACGATAAGCTTGAGTTTGTATGTTTTTGCCCGTGTGAAATTTAAACTTTTTAAAATAATTTTTCAATGTTAACCTAACGCTGAACGGCCCGCTGGCTCGCGCTCGGCGACTTAACGTTAATTGGTGTTTTTGCTTACAGTACAACGTTTCACGTTGTGTACACTTAAAAAAAACCCTAACCTAACTTCTTAACCTAACTTGTCAACCCGGAAGCGCTAAGCCTCGCTGGGTTTTTTAATCGATTGTCCAATATTTATCAACGCCTATTCTTAACCATCCCCCCCCCCACCACACCACGGGGGATGAAAAAAAAAATGTTTTTTTTTTCAAAATATATAATTGTGATACCACAATAATATGATTCATTGAATTTTCCTGACATAAACCACTAACCGCCCTTAAGTGTTCCTGCCCTCCCTTAGGGTTGCCTCTCCTTCCCTTCCCCTCGCCCGTTTTACACCCGGCTCTGTGCCTGAGGCAACCTCATTTCAGTCGCCTCGTACGACAGGCATGAGGATACCGTGGGGGTATTCTAGTGTCCCCCCCCCCACAGGGGGTGAAAAAAAAACACACACAGACAACATAAATGTATCGATTGAAATAGTAATACAACGTGATTTATTGGATTTTAATTAAACGCGGGTGCTTTTTGAAAAGACAATAGGTATAATATTTTGTAATTTATTATTAACACACGAATAAAATATAGCTTATACATATTATATAATAGGTATTATAAACGTTACAGGTCGCATAAAACATAATACTTGGCTGTGTGGAAAACAGCTTTGGCCGTACAGCGCCATTAAAAGCAGTGTTCGATCACAGGATAGTAATAATAGTAATAATAGTGATAATAGTAATAATAGTAATAATAGTAATAATAATAATAATGAAAAAACTACATCTGGCGAATACTTAATCTTAACACACCGCTTAAAGCTTAAATACCTAACGTTATTTGAATAAGTAGCTTTTGAACAGCACTTAACTTACACGCTATAAATATAATGATTTGCACAAAAGACAAAATCATTTCAAGGGCACAGGGGAAAAACGGTAGTAGTCACATTACATTAGTTAGTCATTTTAAGACAACGGTTATTATTAGTTTTAAAATGCGTAGAAGAGCGTTATATCGTTATCAATAAAAGCTTTTGTGAAACCTTACATTTACTTACTTAGACACTTATGCATCTAGATTAGATTTGTGCGTCTAGAGAGTTACTAAGAAGAAAAAAAGAGTATAATTAAAATTTCTTAGCCTACCCAAGTGTCAAACTAAAAAATCCTATTGATTTTTGTATTTATTATTAATTTTTATAAAGAATATTAAAAATCTACACACTCGTATTTATACGTGTTGCTATTTCTACAACTACTAAACTACTCGAACTGTTTTCTTATTACTATTTAATACAGAGAAAACAGTTTTTTCTATCAATTCAAAAGCGTTTAAAACCTACTGAACGCAATCGGACTGGCTAGACTTAAACCGTCAAGTACACTTTAATGTTATATTATTTTACTTAAGTTACTATAACTCTACCGAACTACCTAAAACTACTTCTATTACAATAAAAATGTTTTACATCGTGTATTGCAATAGAAGATGTTATAAAGCGTTCGAATCCTTAAAAACATACAAGCCACAAAATCACATTATGCCATTAATATTACAATATTACAATAAAATTTACAAAACGACGAACATAATATAATATAAGACTAGAAACAAAATCACAGACATAAATAACAACAAAAAAAAAAAAAAACTTAATATTAAATACTTAATCTAAGCTTACCATTAACATTATAAATATGAATTAAATCTAAACTAAAAACTAATGACTCTGTAATATCGCACTGATATTACAGAGTCGACTAACCTACTGAGTATCTCGAAAGCGTATAATGTAGAATTAATAAATAACTAAAATAAAATAACATTAATAATACGAGTAGAGCAACTGAAACAAAACAAAAACAAAATCCAAAAAAAAAAGATAACCTATCGCGACCTATCTCGACCTAGCTTGACCTATCTTAACGTATGTTAACCAATATCTTAACCTATCGTAACCTAGCTTAGCTTCAAGTGATTTACTCGACTGTACTTATGCTAGGTAACCTAACTTAGCTTAACGTTACTTAATCCGGCCTACTGCATACCGTATTACTACCGAACTACCCGACTTAACTTAATTTTTATCGTTATTATAATTTTTTTTTTTTTTTTTTTTTTTTCACAAAGACAGATTTCAGAAGCGGACCATTGGACAAAGACTGCGCACGCCGAAGACGTTCTCGTGAAAAGGGCGTGACCAAAGTTGCGATTCATCATTTTAGCAGCGGTACAGGAGGCTCGACAAAACCCTGCGCACTAATCCAATCTGCGGTTGGGCTGGTCGAAGGTGGAAAACATGTCCTCGTCGGTCTCCGCGCGTGGTTGCCTCCCCGATAGTACCGCGTGTTGTAGCCGGCCACTTCTTCGTCGTCAAAGTCGTCGTCCGACATCTCGATGTGCGGCAGCTGCGGTAGGACTCTGAGGGCGAGCTGCCCTCTGGAGTAGGTGGCCCTGACGGTTCTCATGGCGTGCGGGTCGTCGGAGTCGGCGTTACAGTTCTGGAACTCGACCAGGCTGGTGTCGTCGGGGCCCTGCAAACGCACACCACAAATCATAATAACTGTGATAATATCCTCGTTGCTTCGGAGGAACAGCAACGCGTTGGTTTGGAAATTTCAAACGACAATAATCGGACGTGCGAACGTGAGCCCCCCCCCCCACCCTCCACCCCACCCTCCACCCACAGTGGTAAAGGGGATTTTACAAAAACGGTGGTTATATATATATATATATATATGTAAATAAACGATGGTTGACGAGGGCAAGTCGTGTGATCAACGACAATTCCCACTTCATTGGTTCTGTAGAAAAAAAATTAACAGAAAATAATAACTTTATGTTGGATTCTACTCGTTTAAGGGTAATCTGTTTTAGACCAAAAAGCTGGACGAAATGTCGACTACTCAGGATGGACCGATTTCAAATTTGTAAAGACAATTAACGAGTTCTTTGGCAACTTCACTGGGTTAGGTTGGGAAACAGGTTTTTGATTTTTTATGTTAAACAATAAATTTGGGGTTTAATATTGAAACAAAAACTGCAAATTTAATTTATTTAATTACAACAGACTCAAGTCAAACAACTCGAATCTCTTTGTCTGGTATTTTGGATCAATGTTATCAATATCGTTTTAAAAATATAAAATAATTCAATACTCACCACTTCGATTACTTCACGAGGGTATCTTGCGCGGAAGCATGCCAGATAATATTTGCAGAGTCTAGCAGAAAAAAGTATTCATAATGGATTAGTAGAATGTTTATTAACAACGGTTCTTTTTCTACGAGTAGTTGTGGTAAAATTACTAATTGGTGACAATCCTGGTCATAAACGTCAAAGACATAAAACATTGTTTTGGCTTTCACAAAACGAATCCGGGTTTAAGCATATGTATCAAGCAGTCCAAGCGAAAGTTTGTCTGTATTTGTATGGCACCAAATTGTTATTTAGGAAATATGATATATTTTCATTGGAATTCGCGTTAATCGTATATGCCTTTTTTTTTTTTTTGGTTAGTTAAAGACTATAAATGAAGAGGAGATTGATTCGCATACCGACCGAGGTTGTTCGGTGCAAATCATTAAAGTACACCAAGAACCGATTACAGCCTCATAATAAAGCGTTAAAACAAGTTAATTTGTACCCAAAGTATGACGGAAGTCCCGTCAATAAGCGTACGGTGGCATCGTTTGTGTGAAGCGATAATAATTGTTTTTGCGATGGTGAAGTTGAACAAGTTATAGCCAAACAGATAGCGACCGACCCGGGATAGACTTGGTGTACTTGAGGTTTTTCCACTGTATGTACGCGTTATTTTTATTCCGTTAAACATGACATAAAAACATCCATGTACATACAATTGGACGTACCTGTATGTAATACTTGGAGTCCGTTTGTTTTTTATTTTTTACGAACAATAACATACAAAAAAAGCCCCGTTTCGAATTGATGCGCCAAAATAATGTGTGTGTTGGGACGATAACGCAGGGTGTATCAAAAATAATGGGGGTGGGGTTTCAAGCGGCTGTAGATTGTGGAGTATTGGACCTACAGCGCTGTGGTAGGACTTAAACTTAAAGAAGGAGCTGTCGAGTTTCCAACGACAGACGTCTAGTGGCAGTCATTCGAAACTTGACAACTCCTTCTTTCATTCAAGAGCCCTACCAGAGCGCCGTAAGTCCAATACTTACGTAACCTACAGCCGTTTGAAACCCCACCCCCATTCTTTTTGATACACCCTGTATTATCAGCTAGCGCATTCCCATGTAATATTGCTATTGTCGTGGTCGTTAGTGGCTTTAATATTGATTGTTGTTAGTGAATAAATAAGAACATCATACTCACGCCCACAGCACACCCAAAATCAAACACGCTCCCGCGGTCCACAGCCCGTACTTCAATAGCGCCGTGTGAAATCCCGATAACGGGTTGGCGCCGTTAGTCGCTACCGGTTCGTTTTCTACCTGACTGTATGTACTGGCTCTGCTGTGAGGATATGAATGATAAGAGAAATAAAAAATAATTATCCTTTGATTAAATCAAAAAAAATGAAAAATAATAAGTTAATAGCAAAAATGAAAGTTATATGTGACACAAATAATATTGCTGCATATTATAATTTTGTTTTACCTGATCCGTTGGCCAACGTTTCCAGGCATTTTCAAGTTGGCGGGCACTTCATCTAAAACAAACATTTAAATAGCTCGATTAAAAAGTGACCAAATTCGAAAATATGTTTTATTTTTTCCATTGATCGATTTTCAGTAATGAGACTACGTTTTTGGGCTAAAGAGATTATGATTGAGCAACATCCATCCGTCCGTTTGTGTCTACGGTTTAGCGGGCGCTTACTTAGAATAATTTTAAGTGCTTCACATTGCTTTCTGTGTCCCATTGTGTCTTTCGAAAAACAACGCGACACAATCAGGAAGCACAAAAAAATTATCCTAAAAAAATTGCCGGCTTTAGGATGTCAAATTCAATCTCTTCTGGGTGGTCTTCAAGCGTATTCAGCGTGTCCCAAAGTCCCATGCAAACATGCAAATTCTAATGCCAACACTCTAAGCTAACACTACCACTAATTTGACTGTTAATGGACTTTCGAGTTGACAATAAGTCGGTATCAGCGCCAGTTCAGTATGTTATATTATATTTGTATTAATATTCCACTCTAACTGAGTAAACATTATTTTCTACATAATATGTTGTATACTGATTATATATATATATATATATTTTTTTTTATAAATTGTAATGGATATTTTGGACAATGGCGCGACTTGAGTATAGCTATATAACTTGTCTGTCTTTACTAGACACATGATACAACTAGGACTAGACTAAAAAACCGAATTGTTCAGGTAGATAAGTCATTGTAGTTATTCAAAATTGCTGAAAGACTGAAATTACAACACCGAAAAAAAAATAATGATGATTAAGTAGTCTATTACGTAACCCGGAACATCAGGTAATATCAGTAAAAAAGGGCATACAATTAAAAAAAAAATATTATGAAGTTGTTATACCTAATGACGAATAAAAACAATAATAATTTAACAACCTTTCTCTGATGGCTGTTGTTTTTGCCAACAATCAAACGGGCCAAGACAAACTCGGGTCCAACTTGGTGTATTACCGGAAGTGTCTGCGGAAATGACGTTCAGCGATGGAAGTCTATTTCCTGTGCCGATCAACAGGGCTCGGCGACCGTTTGCTCCTTTTGTGAAGAATATACTTTTGTGATAATATACTCCTCCTACCGGGGAGTATATTATCTCTTTTAAGATAACCCATTCAACCGACGCTGTAAATAATTGCAAGCGGTTTACATTGGAATACTAGCTGAGCATTTTATATTTTATTTTAGACGGATATTAACTTGAGAGGTGCTTTTCGATTAAATATTATTATTGAAATTTTTTCAATATTGTGGAGTACATATTTTGTAAAAGCTCTCCTTTGAATTTATTTGAAAAAACAAAAAAAAAATAATATCTTTAAATTTTAACACACCATAACAGCTGGTCGTCCGTAACTCTTATAATAATTATCATCCAAGGTCTTTAATAAACGCTCAAGTACTTAACAATACAATATTACACATACAATACTATTTTACAATTGGTGCTAATTAAATTAGTGGTGGTAACTAGTGCTAACAGAGAAACCATGCAAACAAGCACAAAATTAAACATCAACAATAAAAAAAAAAATGGACATTTAATAATTATTAACGTTTAACAACAACACAAGAACGATAGACTGTTGTGTTAATTAAAACTAGAAAGACAAAAGTAACAGCCAAACTTTGGTACATTAAAACGGTATTGTTGGAAATATATTTTTTTGTTGATTATAAAATTTGCCTACTTAAACAAACGACTTTAGGTTTATCCTTATTTGCATTATTAATTTTTCAAAACGCGTCTACAAACGAAATTTACATTCGACTTAATTAACGAGTAAAATATACATTAGTGCTAATTACAATAGACAATACACATGCAGGTCTCACACGTTGGGTTATTCAATTGTAATTAATTTCCATGCACAACTCATTTCGGTCATTGTACTGTGGGAAAACGAGACTTCTCCCATCTGTCGATCTCTCCACAGATTGATTTAATCAACACCAACTAGCCGCTTATTCAAATTATCTAACCACATAAGGGACTTGTATGGGATTGCTACAAATCACACTGTCGTCGATCGCTTTATATATATTTTGTAATTAACAATCGTCCTTGGTCGAGTGTTCCGGTGAAAAAAAAACTTTTTTTTTTTTTTTTTAAATAGCGTGAGAACGTGCCCAATTACTCAAAACCGAATTAACATTTCAACAGTAAAACTCAAAAAAGGTTATTCATAAATTACTTTTTATTACTGCTGACCGAATGTATTTTTTATTTTGTAAATCATTAGCATCTAAAGTAGATGCGATAGAATCTAGATTACATTATAAAATCCTAATGGAAACGTTCTCCTTGATTTGAACTAAGTTATTGTGTACTTTAAGAAATAATTTATAATAGGTAAAAAATGTGACCTCTTTAGATATTTCGTTTTTGCCACTCCAGGAGGCTTAAATAAAAAGAAAACTGTTTCAAAGCCTTTCCAACGTGCTGTTACGTTCTCGTGGTTGATAAGAGACTATTATATGGATATTATAGCTTCTACTGGTGATGTGTATGTCTACAATCTACGGTTATAAAGCGTTCTAATCAATACAATGCATACATACCGCGATTTGGTAAATTTTGACTGTCTCGGTCGTTGGACAATGAATCTTTAAGCCCAGATATCTTGACTCTCATGATCCGGGGGCCGGTAATGTAGTATTCCATTACACTTGAATGTCCGTCAACAGTCAACAATAGCGACGGTTCTTGGTCGGACTGCAATAGAACAATCACATGTAAAATACTAATCACTTACATTACCGTTCGACGATACGTTTACTGAATTATAATTACAATACTAAACGACGAAAAAACACTACGTGGTAAAGCCACTGACGCCGTTTTTCTATTTATTTTACTAAGGCGTTCTAATCGATTCCCGTAAGAGATATAACAAGTGGAACCAAAGATAAGACGAAAGCAGAAGATCCACTTTCAGTGTATACAAACATAACAGTGACGGCCATTTTGTTATGCACAACAAGTGATAGAAGATGGCCGCCGCGTTTATGTGTAATAAGTACCTAATCAGTGTTAATTGTTATCGGTGTCCTGGTAAAACTAAAGAATATCATCACTAATGGGAAACATTGAAATAATAATTTTCAAAGTGTCTTCCAACAAAACTTCATAAAGGTTTTAAGACATCATTTTTTTCCACCCGTTCAATATTAGCACATTTTTTTTGTGGTAACAGATAGTAACCTTAGGCCATATAACCGCGGTATCGATTGTAAATAAACTATTTAATATTGTGCCCAGACCGTCCCATAAAACTCGAAGTAATAAAACTTGTTTAAGATGCCGAAGCTAGGTAATAAATAAAAATAATTAAAAATATATATATTTATTTTTTGTATAATATTATTACAAGTTCGGTAAAATAAATGATATTGTTTCATTTTTACAAAAAATAATTAGTTTTTTAAAAATCTATAATTTATTGTTTTACCAATGCACAGTTGTCCAGAATTTAAAAAAAAATATATCTCCTGAGTTTTAGCTTGAAAGACTTGTAATTCAATAATTGTGTACGTTCATATATACAATAAATTTAAATTTAATATCTCTTTCTAAAACAAAACCAACACTTTATTAGCAGCTATTTGTTTATGGTTTAGCTGACAAAAACGTTATTAGAATTATTTTATTATTCAATTCACTTATTTTATACTTTTTTTTTTCAAACAATATTTCTCTTTGTTTTTTTAAACCCTAATGGACCCTCTTTTTTTTAGTCTTAATTATCAATTAAATCTCAATGAACTGAAACGAAACAAAATAATAACCATTCGTTCCATTTTTAATTGAACGTTCGGTACTTCTGTGTTTTAAAAATATGATTTTAATTTGTTTTTTTTTTTTTGACGCTTGACGTTTATTTTACGGGTTTTCGAAAAATGTCTTATAGGTAGCTGGTTACATGAATTATTGAAAGTTTCATTACAAATTGATTTTTATACAAAAAAAACATAGCCGAAATTGACTTGTTTATTTGATGTTTTAAATTATTATTATAGACCACTGTGCGACGGATTAAAACACTGTTGTTTGAAATTAACAATAATGAATAATAGAATAATGAGTGAAAAGTAAAAATACTATATGTATAGATAATACTAACACTAGAATAAAAACTCAATAAAATAAGTAAGTAAAAATAAAAAAAAAAAACAAATTGTAAATAGCAAAAAAAAAAATGTATGGCAAAATTGAAAATAAAATAAACGCCTAAATAATAATAATAATACGAGTACTATCATTGATGTGATCAAAGTGTACACACTGATCTTATTAATTGAGAATGGAAATATTCAAAGGCTTTGGCCGACCGTTTTCATTTGTCTACAGTTACACTGGCACTGCTGGTATATGTGTAAACCGACTATCGATTTTTAATAACTTGAACGACAGGTCTTTTACACAAATACTAGAAGACACCGCAGCGAGTACCAGAAATAATGCAAATATCGTTATTCCGTGACTTGACTTAAGTATTCCGTCACGAGTGACGTGACTCCGCCTCGACATGCAGCTCGACAGTTTTCAACGTTTTGAATTATAATAACATGTCCGTGTGCCTACAATGGTATCACACAGGGACGGATAGAATAATTTATTTTATATAATAAAAATTTAAAAAAAAACAAAAAACGGAACTTTTTATTTCCAAGACAAGTATAGGTGTTTTTGTGTTGAATTTAGTGTTTTAAGAGTCTAAATGGTTTGGTTTGACAAATACACAAGCTGCATTTCAATAAACTGACAATTAATGAATGCATTAGTTGAGTAGCCAAACACATTTAAATAGCGAACAACTTTATTTAAGAATTTTATTCTTTTATAGTATTACTTTGTCATTTGTTATCTATTTTCCGAATCTTCATCGCTATGAGCCTTAAAAGTAATTAGTAATGACAATACTATGCAACGGTGTCCACACTTTTTTTTTTTTTTTGTACATTGTTGTTTCTTTTCGTTTGAGAAAATATGGACACCAATGTACTACAACTGAATTATGTAAATTGAGTGTGACTAATTATCGAATTTTACATATTTGGTTTTGGTTAAACACTGCTAAACTTCTTAGCCTCCTTTCGGTTCTTTAGTACCTAACTGACTTTTAAATGTTAGCATTTTCACTTTATAATAATTGGGCTTGAGAGCGGCCATTTGGATGGAGAGCAAAAGAAAACAAACTATTTGTGTTGGTTTCAATTCAATTTTGAATAGAAACAAGTTTGCCTTTTGTACTTGAAGTTAAATTACATTTTTCAAACTATATTAGAACAGTCAATCAATCATACTAGGTGACTAAGATGGTGATTTTTTAAAAACAACGATAAATTAAAATAATTTGTAGTTTTCTTTGTTTTAATTATCCGTAAAAAAAACTGCTCAATTACAGTAAACTAAGAAACTGGTTTAAAGAAGTCAAAAAGTTTGGGAATGTTTTAATTAATTTATAGACGGCTGAATAGACATTTTATGATTAATTTTCAGCTGTTTTTCCACACTGTTAATTCATAAGACCAAAAATATCTGGTGGTACAAAAATAGTATAACTACCATTTTAAGTCTATCTTTATGCCACAAATGTGATCAGACTTGATCAGCACTTGTTTACTCAGTACAAAAGTTTAGTGGCAATCAATTGAATCCAATAACAGTTTTTATCAGGTTATGCTGATCAAGTAGGTTAGCAAGGAATTTTTTTCTCGTTGCTAGGATAATACTAGAAAAACTAGTTTCAATTACATTAAAGCCGAAACGTAAAAAAAAAAAAAAAAAATTACACTTGTCCCATCAATAACTGTAAGACGCGACGGCGTACCACATGCTGGCAAAAGTCTTAAGACGGAGCGCGTGATCGATTGAAATGCTTTTATAATTTTGCAACGTCAAGTCTTAGCGCAACCATGGGTGGTACGAATGGAATATAATAAATTAACTTGAATCAAATTTCACACAATGAACACTATCGTGCGCGCTCAAACAGGTTAGGAATTTATGTGAAAATATCATTTTGGCACAAACGAGCCGCTCGGAAATACCTTCTCTGGTATGTAGACACCTTCCCAAAACGGAGCCACGTAGTTTAATAAGAAGCTCTTTAAAAACGTTCATTTGAATCGTACCTTTATTATATAGATAAAGTATTTCCGGCAAGAGGCAGGATTTTCTTTTTCCTACATACTCTACATAAAGCCACAGTCTTTTTTATGTGGGCATACGTCGTTTTAAATAGACGATGTTTACCGTTTAGCTGTTTATCGAATTGTCCTGTTTATAATTGAAAATTTTTTCACTCGATAGACATCTAGGTGATAGGCACACAGGTGGAGGTAAAGGGGAACTGTAGGCTATCATTCAAGTTTCCACAGAATACCAGAATGTGCGTGTATTGTCGGTTTGGTTGCTGATATTTGCTGAGAACCTCAGTTGAGTTTGGAAGAATCTGAATTGCTCAAATTCCCATTCTAGCTACCGGAAAAATATTCAGACTTGATATAAATGTGTGTTTAACTACTTTACAAAAATTGTTCACTTATAAAAATACTAATCATAGTTACATAAATTCGATAAATTACTTTATCAATGTAATTTTTACTGTTGTATGTGCACAGTTACTTTTTTTACGCTGTATAATATATTTTTACTTTAAATATTTTATTCAATAGAAAGCAATTGTATTTCCTTTCATAAATTTAATAACTCTATGTGAACTCAAAAGACATTTGATCCCAAGTGCGAACTTTTTAAACATTTCTAACTGTTAAAGTGAACTCTTTTTTTTTTGTTTTTGTAATAAAGCTCTCTCATTATTATGTGTTCTAGCTTCATAACTCGAAAATAGTACTTTATAGTATTAAAAAAAATAAAAAATGACTTTTAAAACTCGTTTAATTTTTGAGAATACATTTCCTACCATTTTTTTTATGAAAAAAAAATGACGTCGTTGCCAAATTATTATTATTATTCTTTTTTGTTTTACATTGAAAAATTGAAATAAGACGTTTTACTGTACTCCGTTTTGAGAGTTTCCTTTTATTAATCATATAATATTCTGGTACATACATTATTTGTTAGTTTCCACGCGAACGCGTTTAAGCCATTCCATCCATTTACATGTACAAAAACATTCTCATTTCCGTTCTGTACTTAGTTCACTTACTCAACGTCCGAAGTTTAATTTCGCACATACTTAGTCGGGTGACTTTCTACCGTTTCACAAAATTTTATTATTATTCTTCATACTAAGTGGCAGCCTTTTAGTCACACAACACATCTGCGACATCGACTTTACTTGCATGCGTACACTTGCTCACTTTGTCCTACGCCATACACCTAACACAACACTTAGGTTTTCTTGCATAATTCATTTCGATTACTACAAAATACATGCTGGTGTGTTTCCTAACACGGTTTTGTAGTCAAGTCAAAATGGGGCTCAAATTAAGAGGCGCAGAAAAATTCAAGAACTCGGTTTTGTTTGAAAACGTGTGTTCAGTTTTGGCTACTTATCAGGGCTTTGAAATTAGCACCTTAATAGTTGTGCTTGATTATCATTATAATACTATGTCCTTTGAAATGGATTATTACCTACTCTTAAATATTACCAAACGCAACAAATTGGGACCGCGCTATGCAACAACCATGTACTTGCCGAGTAAGTTTAGCTGTCAACAAGCCCTCGTCCAGCCATCTCAAAAACG